GTTAATAATGCGGACTTTGTAATCAAAGAAAACATGATAATTTCAAGAGAAACATCCAAAGTGCTTTATTCAAAGTAATGTCCATTGCTAGCTACACATTCCCCCATATTTCAGGTAATTTGTGGAGATCTTCCCAATAGAACGTTTCTTGTTTTGAGGCAGACCATTCAGAGACCCCTGTGTTGTGTTGTATTGTAATAGAAGATTGTGTTCTGAAAGTGTTTGTCTCCATTATACTGTGAACCTTCTAGAACAAGAACTGAATCTGATTTGACCATTTAAATCCGGCTCTCACTCCAGGGACTGGCACACTGAGCGTGTGTAAATAAATGTGTATTGTGTGAGTGATGAATTAGCCAAATGGGCTCTAGGCAGCTTGGCCGGCACCCAGACAATGCCCGGAGCGCCCGGCGAAAGTTGGGAGTTAGTGGAGTGTGCGGGTGGAGAAGGGCTGCCGCGCAGGACCGGAGCCGGCAGACCGGGGCCCCTCCCTCGGGATGCAGGCTCCGGGAAAGGTGTGCCGAGCAGGTCTAGGACCTGCACAGCGAGGTGTTTTCTCATGGCAGCAAGCGAACCTCTTAGTTCTTGCCAACATGAGCAGGAAACCTGGGGAGGGTGGCGGACAGGCGTCCCGCGTATCTAAGATGCCATGGTTGCGTTCTGCTTGGCTCGACTCCTCTGGGCTCTGAAGCATTTTAACTTCATCCACAGCTTACCAGGAGTGTGGCAGCTCAGCGTCTGAGTGGCCCTGGGTTATGGAGAGGAGAGAGAGGCAGGTAGCACAGGCGGGGAGATAGGAACTCGAGAGCGAGCAGGAGATTTCCTTGGGCTGAAAGGACACAGTGTTAGAAAGCCAAAAGGTGGAGGGAGCATCCCCAGCAGCGAAAGGCGCGTTGTTAACTGCAGATTTTATGTGCAGGACATTTGACGGCGTAAGGGAAGAGAACATGCGTCATGAGGTAGGACAGCTTGTATTTAGGAGGAAACTCATTGGAGCCAGCTGCTCTGGTCATGAAGTGTGAGAGTGTGTCCGAGCGGATACCTCTAGCTACAGCCTCTCTTACTGACTCTCTTAAAGACCAAGCTATCCGATTTGTTTCAGCGGTTTTGGCTTTTGTCATAACAGCTCTGTATTTGGGTCAATGTGGGGAGAGGGGTGATCGTTCTGTCATGTTTGCTGTCCTTGCTCTCAGCAGAATGGAGCAGCTCTCCATGCCTGTTCACTCTGCTCCCCACCTGAGGCTTAGAAACACCCCAACTGGTAGTGGTTTCTCCTGCAGAGCACCCCACCTGCAGGGATGCGTTCGGCCACCCATCTTTTCCCTTTGCTGTCCACAGATTAACCGTGCTGATAAGGAGGCAACTTCACAGGAGCTGCTAAGATGGGCATGAGGATCAAACTACAAAGCACCAACCACCCCAACAACCTGCTGAAGGAACTCAACAAGTGCCGGCTCTCGGAGACCATGTGCGATGTCACCATCGTGGTGGGGAGCCGCTCCTTCCCGGCCCACAAAGCTGTGCTGGCCTGCGCAGCTGGCTACTTCCAGAACCTCTTCCTGAATACTGGGCTCGATGCCGCCAGGACCTATGTGGTGGACTTTATCACTCCCGCCAACTTCGAGAAGATTCTGAGCTTTGTCTACACATCTGAGCTCTTCACAGACCTGATCAATGTTGGGGTGATCTACGAGGTAGCTGAGCGTCTGGGTATGGAAGACCTCCTCCGGGCCTGTCACTCCACCTTCCCTGACCTGGAGAGCACTGCTGTGGCCAAGTCCCTGACCAGCACCAGTGAGAGCCACTCGGGCACCCTGAGTTGTAGCTCAGCAGAACCTGCCCATCCCCTTGGAGAACTCCGGGGTGGCGGGGAGCCCTTTGGTCCTGATAGAAATTATGTTTTGCCTAGTGATGCTGGAGGAAGCTATAAAGATGAAGAGAGAAATGTTACCAGTGACTCTCACCATAGCCTGCCCCTGCCACAGCAGCCACTGCCGCCAAAGACGGAAGACCATGATAATCCTGCTCCTTTCACATCTGTACCTAATGTGGTGACCCAGCCAGCCCTAGGCACGGCCAGCATGGGCATCCAAACCAGCACAAGCTCCTGCCAGCCATACAAGCTTCAGAGCAATGGAGACTTCAGTAAAAACAGCTTCTTCCCCCCGGACCATGCAATAGACATCACCACTGGGACCAACTCCTGCCTGAGCAATAGCGACCACTCCAAAGACCCAGGCTTTGAGCAGATGGACGACCTCCAGCTGGAGGACCTGGGGGAGGACGACCTGCAGTTTGAAGACCCCACCGAGGAGATCGGCACAGCTGAGGTGATTGAGCTGAGTGATGACAGCGAGGATGAGCTGACTTTCGGAGACAATGACAACCGGGAGAATAAGGCCATGCCCTGCCAGGTGTGCAAGAAAGTTCTGGAGCCCAACATCCAGCTGATCCGACAGCACGCTCGGGACCACGTGGACCTGCTGACAGGCAACTGCAAGGTGTGCGAGACCCACTTCCAGGACCGAAACTCCCGGGTGACCCATGTCCTGTCTCACATTGGTATTTTCCTCTTCTCCTGCGACATGTGTGAAACTAAGTTCTTTACCCAGTGGCAGCTGACGCTCCACCGACGGGATGGAATATTTGAGAACAACATCATTGTCCACCCCAATGACCCCCTGCCGGGGAAGCTGGGCTTGTTTTCGGGGGCAGCCTCCGCCGAATTGAAATGCGCTGCCTGCGGGAAGGCTCTGGCCAAAGATTTCCACGTGGTCCGGGGCCACATCCTAGACCATCTGACCTTGAAGGGCCAGGCCTGCAGCGTCTGTGACCAGCGCCACCTCAACCTCTGCAGCCTCATGTGGCACATGCTCTCCCATCTCGGCATTTCGGTCTTCTCCTGCTCTGTCTGTGCGAACAGCTTTGTGGACTGGCATCTCCTAGAGAAGCACATGGCTGTGCACCAAAGCCTGGAAGACACCCTCTTCCGCTGCCACTTGTGTAGCCAGAGCTTCAAGTCGGAGGCTGCCTATCGCTACCATGTCAGCCAGCACAAATGCAGCAGCGGCCTTGACCCCCGGCCTGGCTTTGGGCTGCAGCACCCAGCTCTCCCGAAGCGGAAGCTGCCGGCAGAGGAGTTCCTGAGTGAGGAGCTGGCTTTACAGGGCCAACCTGGGAACAGCAAGTATAGCTGCAAGGTCTGTGGCAAAAGATTTGCCCACACGAGTGAGTTCAACTACCACCGGCGGATCCACACGGGCGAGAAGCCGTACCAGTGTAAGGTGTGCCACAAGTTCTTCCGAGGCCGCTCGACCATCAAGTGCCACCTGAAGACGCACTCAGGGGCCCTCATGTACCGCTGCACAGTCTGTGGCCACTACAGCTCCACCCTGAACCTCATGAGCAAGCACGTGGGTGTGCACAAAGGCAGCCTCCCACCCGACTTCACCATTGAGCAGACCTTCATGTACATTATCCATTCCAAAGAGGCGGAGAAGAGCCCGGACAGCTGACTGGGTCCCACCGGAGCCAAGGGGAGCTCCCAGGTGGCAGCCAGGACATTGACTTTCTAGTGGCTGTTCATCCCACCCTAGCCGAAGTTACAGTTTTGCCTTGCTGGGAATTCTGTTCTGTCCTGCGTTTAAAGAAGAAAAAAAGAGAATAGCACATGAGCTGTTACTGTTTTAGAGAAGCAGCGGCCCTATCATGTTTACCTCCTGACCTGTTCTTGCCCATGAAGGGCTGTGTTTTTTATTCTTTTGAGGCTGGTCTTGGGATCTCGTCAGGCAGCTGGTGTCAGCTAGATCCCCTTCCCCAGCCTCTCGAGTTTTATGCTGCTAAGAACCCAACCGACAGCTTCACTGAAGAGAGGAGGTGGAGAGAGTTCTCACTGTGGGTGTAATGCCAGACCTCCATCGGGGACCACCAACTGTGAGAGCGTTTGGCAGTGTGGTCATTTAGAAAAGACTAGTCAGCAGGGCAGCTCACCTCAGGTCCCCTTCCCGGCCCTCAGCAGGGAAAAGGCAACAGGGATAGAGGTGCCTGTTGTTCCACGCCTCTAATCTGCTGACTGGACAGTAAGATCTTTGGGAAGCTAGATCCAAACTGGGGACTAAGCTTTCTATTTAGATCAGAAAGCTTTGGGATGAGTCCTGGCCAGGGCCACCAGAAAAGGTCCTGCAGGGCCACCAGAAGTGGCAGCCTGGACTGACAGGAAGGGAGGTTTCTCTTTTCTCCTCAGTTCCAAAGAAACATGATTTCATGGAGTGATGGCCCAGGGCATCAGGCCTTCCCTGTGGGGCAAAGAGGACAGGGAGCCATTTGATATAGTCCGTCACGTGTCATCTGGTCACCTCCATCAACTGTGAGTTTTCTGTTGGGGAAGTGGGGTTGTCTCTGACAGCAGCAGCATTGCCTTAATTTATATCCTGTCTCTCGCCTAGAAGTGTGTTTGACCCGTAGTGTAGATGAGAAGACCCCACGAGGTGGAGTGATGGACTGGAAGCCCTTCAGGATTAAAGGGACCAATGATGACTGGTGGTGTGTAGCGGGATGCCTCTCTGTCCCAGTTGGGTAACCTGTTTTGTGCAACTGGGCAGGAGCTCTGGCAGCTGACTTTTGACCTGCTGGAATTTATCCTGATCTGTCTTTGTGTTGCCGCCAGTGGGCGCTATTGGCTGACAGCTCGGTCAGGCCCTCCCTCGGTAGCTGGGAAACATTTCTGCCCAGCCCTGGGGGCTTTGTTGTTAGTTGGCTTTTGAGGGGGCCCTGCCCAAAGAAGGCTTGAATGCGAGGGCTCTTGACCTCACGTACTCATTGGCTCACCTCTGTACACACTACCTCACCTGCTCAGGCCAGCGCTGGGAGTCCCTGAGCTAGGCCCTGACACTGCTCCTGGTGGGACTCAGCAGCACCCCGGGCTGTTTCACAAGCAAGTGGTTTTAATGAACTCACAAAGCCTTTTTGGACGTTAATATTTATTTATTTTTATGTTTGTATGCATATTACCCAGCATCTCTTTTGGAAAAGAGACTTCAGGAAAATGAGTTTCTCCCCAGCAAGGAGCCATGTCCAGGGGAGAATCCTGGCCAGAAGTTTGGGAAATAGGCTAGAACTGGGGGAGAACGTTTCAAGCCTTTAAACAGGGCAAATTCTTTTTGTTCTCCCCAGATAGGCGCTTACAGAATATACCCAGGGAACCCTTTAGGCAATTGATGTAAGTCCTAGAAAGTTGGGGCGTGTTAAATTCCTAGGCCTTTCCTCCTCCTCCTCCTCCTCCTCCTCCTCCCATCCTGTAATGGAGTAGATTGGGGACCAGGCTGAGGGGACCAAGTCACATGAAGGACCTTTTTGCACATTTTCTCATCCCTCCTAAACTCGGAAAGCTGTACTGAGACATAGAGGCAAACCAGAGCTTCATCTTTGGTGCACCTGCTGCCTCTCTCCCCAGCCCTGAACCTACACAGCCTCCGACCTGGAGTGCGTGGCTCTCTGCTGGGGTGACCGCTACATGAAGGGACTTGTACACATGGCCACTTTTCACATCTAACCCAACTTGGGAATCCTCCCTGGGGACATTCTTGTCAGGAAAGCAGTGCTGAGACTCTTCATCTCTGACTGGCTTCTCCTTTTCCCACACCGACCTATAGACATTTAAGGAGGAATGTGTGGAAAGGACTACCGTCGAGTGTTTGCTAAGCTTTTCAAGCCTGAGCGATCCCTCCCAGACTGTTGGTGAGGACTGGTTTCTGAGTGGCCAGGTTAGAGGGAGCTGGTCCTGAAACCCAGTGACTATGCTGGGCAAACCCTTTTCCTTAACAGAGGGCATCATGGATGCTGGGTAGTCTGTATACTTAACCTGAAACTGTGAAGTATTCCCTTTTTGCCAGTAAACCAAAAAGCAAATCCTTGAAACTTTGCCCCTGAAACACTAAACAAAAAACTGCACCCCCTGATCCTCCCGAGGCGAGGTGGTTGGTCAGGGCAGCCCAGTTGGTTGCAGTCAGACATGTAGCAGGGTCAGTAGCTCATGAGGCTCAATGACCAAACCCTGTTTCTCCCCATGTCCCCTGTGTTCACACCCAACCCTCCCTCTGTTCAGTCATGTTTGCTGCCCCTGCCTCTAGCTCACCCTTTTCTGAGCGGTTGTACTTGAAACACTATAGTGTGGCAAAGGGCACTCTAGGATACCTAGTGGAAGGTATTGATTTTATGTTGAGTTTTTTATTTTTTCAATCTTTGATTTTGTCACGCCCTCTGCCCTGGAACTCAGTTTAGCACTGTCTCCTGCTGTATCGTTCTGAGGTTCAGTTTGACCCTTGAATGTCTTTTCTTCTCCCTTTTCCTCCTTTTTCTTGTTCTGTACTCCAGACTGGCTACATAATTGGCAGAGCCCTTTATTTAAAAATCATGTTTAAGAATTTCAAGATGGCAATTATGGAGCATGAAACCAAGCCTGAGGCTGTTCTCAGCTTGTTTCCTAGGGGAAGAGGGTGACACTTGGATGGCACACTGGGATGAAGAGCAGAGGCAGCTGTGGCCAGAGGAGGGGATCATTATCCCGCTCTTCTGTGACCCGCTGCCCCACGGGCAAGCTCCGCTGTACCCTCACATTGGGTCCTAAATTTTAAGACTCCATGGAATGTATAGTTCATGGCTCATTGGGAAGAAAGGGGGTGGGGGTGGGGCTCTGGCCCAGGTGACCTCTAAGGACCAGAAAATGGGTAAAAGTTCTTTTTGACTTCTCTTCTGACCTGCCAGCCCTCTTTGTCTCCAGGACAAGCCTTCTCCCAGTGAGGTTTTGCTACTGATGATTTTTCTTCCTCTTCTGGCCTCCTGCTGTGCCCTGTTTTCCCAGACTACTCCATGTGGAAATGAATTTAAATCCCACTCTAGATGGACACTGAGTCTGTTGCCATGGGAGTAGGCTGTGTGGAGAAGTCGGTGCCCATATGGGAGTCGCTACACCTCCTTTTTCCTAACCCTGCACTGGCCGAGTCAGGAAGTAGGGCACACAGCATTCATTTCAATGTGGTTATCATCGTAAAGCTGACATCAGGATGAAAATGGAATTGTTTGGATTTCAATATTTCTTTAACACCCTTCCTTTGTCCAGTCCGCCCTCCCCTCCCTCTTCTACTAGCTAAAGTCTCTTACGAAATGGAGAACAGTTGATGTGTAACTTCTTCCATTAAATTAATAAGTACTGACCTCCTAATATTTAAGTGTTTACTATCTATTGCTGTAAAGTTTTGTATATTTTGTAAACTTTTTTTCCCAAATAGTAGATGTCTAAAATCGTTGTACATCTGATTCTTTTATATTCCATTGTTCGGCACAAAGTGTGGTTTTTATTTAGAATAAAAAAAAAGGAAATTGGAAATGGGAGTTCTTTTCCTGTTTACTGTGATCGTGCTCATCCCTGGAGTTGGGAAGATCTGGACAGCCACCCGTTGAGTCTCAGTGTTGTGCTCAGCAGATTTAAGCAGCACCTCTTCCTTCCCTGTAGCTGGAATTCCCCAGGGTTAACTTGTTGACCGGTCTTTTGTTTGTTTTTCAAATCGATTTTTATTGATTTCAGAGAGGAAGGGAGAGGGAGAGAGAGAGATAGAAACATCAGTGATGAAAGAGAATCACGGATTGGCTGCCTCCTACACACCCCTTACCAGGCACTGAGCTCACACCCAGACATGTGCCCTTGACCAGAATCGAATCCAGGATCCTTCAGCCCACAGGCCGATGCTCTATCCACTTAGCCAGACTGGCTAGGGCTTGACCGAGTTTTAGTGGGAAATTAAGTCAGTGACCCAACTTCAGGGGGAACATTCCTGAGGGGATCTTGTGTTGGCCCAGAAAGTGAAGTGGAACTCAGCAGTGTCTAGTTGGACTTGAAAATTGGCCATAAGTTGTCTTGCCAGTGCCATTTAATTCATGTGACGCGGTATGTTGGACTGGAGAGAGGCAGGTCAAACAGAGGAGGCAGAGGTTTGGCATAATTTCCTGAGGTTGATAACAAATGTACCCCGACGGAAGGGTGTGATGTGGCCCGTTGGGTCTCAGCACACTGCCTGGCCCTGGCCCCTGTCACTGCTCAGTGAATGCTGAGCTGAGCAGCCTTGCTGCAGTCAGCATAGCCTGTTCCCTTTCCTCCCAAGGCCCTGAGGAGATACGCTGCCAGGGAGATAACTGGTTGCCAGAGTGAAACCCGTGAGAAGAGCACAACCTCGGGGAAGTGGACTCGGGTCGCCTGGGACGTGACGAGAAAATTGGGTTTTCTTTAGGAAACTTCTGGAGCCTGAGCCCGGGGAGGCAGTGATATGGGCATCAGACGCTGGCTTGGCTTTTACATGGGCAGAGGGAAGAAAGTGCTTTCACTGTGTTATCTGCGCTGCTAGGCCAAGCCCTGACTGCAACCCCAGGTTACACCCTGGACTCTCCTGGGTGGACAGCCTTCGGCTCTGTGCCCCTGAGCAGTGGTTTGTAGCTTAAGAACCTTTCAGGTGGGGCCCAGTGAGCAGGGGGCTTTAGATACAGATGCGCCCCTGCTTCTGACACACAGGCACACACCATTGGACACATGTGGAGGCATCTGCTGCACGCAGTTTCAGATTTCTGAAAGCAGAAGAGGCAGTGCGCCAGGTCAGTGACTGATTCCAACGTAAACATTCCAGACACAGCACCGGGCAGGACAGAGGTCTCGGCGGTGGTGTCCCTGGGCCCTCCATCTCCGCCGCAGGATTGAGAGACCAAGGACCTGGAACGAGTGGACTTGAACCTGCTCTTAGGCTTTGCTTCAGTCCAAGTTCATGGGCATGGTCCTAGTTTCCCAAACTGACAGCCTTTCCAGAAGACCTGCTTGTTGCCAAGAGCAGCGGTCGCCAACCGGTGGTCTGTGGACCCCTGGTGGTCCGTGAGGTCCGAGAGGTTGGCGACCGCTGACCCAGAGGACTTCTCGTCCTATCTGTAGACAAGTGTTACTAGAAGTAAGTTGCTGGATAGATAAATCATGAAAAGACGAGGCGCAGGAGAAAGAAGTGTAAGGATGGGAGCTGACAGAAGAAAACAGAACCCTGTCCTGTGACCAAATTGGGAAATTTCCGCTGCCTGTCCTGTGCAGGGACCGGAGGCTGAGGGACAACACATCTGTCAGTGCTTGCAGCTGGCTGTCCCGGGGTCTGCTCCCAGAATGGATGTCTCTTGTTATTTTCCACGGTCTGGGGAAAATGGGAGGGACAGGGGTGGATTTTGGATAGCATCTTGTTTAGATCCGAAATGTCCTAGTTCCAAAGCTGGGAGGAGGTGGGCTAGCTATGAGAGCTGTTACCCTGGGGCAGCTCCTCTGCTCTGGGGCAGGGGGGGGGGAGAGTGTCAGCAAGGAAATGGAGAACTTCCTGGATGGTGGAAGGGGTGGAGGGCCATCCTGCCAGCCCAGCTGCGGGGTGCCTGTGCAGACCTCGGCTTCACCCCGCCCGCCTCCCCAACTCCCTCCACTATCACAGCACTGAGGATGCGCTGCCTGGAAACGTCCTGCTGAGACCTTCTGGTTCCGTGGCCTCTGGCCTCTTGTCCCCACAGCCTGCGCGGTGCACGGTGCAGGGTGCGCGGGGAGATCAGCAAGCACACACATGCAAAGGAAAGTTTTGAAAGGTTCCTGCAGAGCTCCCGCTTCCGGCCAGGGTGATTTCTGCAATGCGTGTCCTTTCCGCTGAGCATCAGTTTAGCCTTAGCTCCTTCCCCACTCACAGCGGCAAGGCAGACTTTCAGAGATCGAGTCACGGCTGTCTCTATTATTTATTTCACCCTTTTTCCTGTGCGTCTGTCTTAGACACAAGGACTGAGACAAAGAGGACCACACCAAGGACCCGTTCTTTATCCCTCTCTACCCCTTCTCCCTCTCCCCACCTCAAGGTGTAAGATAGACTCCAAGTCGACCGTGAGTGCTTTGACCCTTTTCCCTGCCCCCGCCCCCCAATCTCTCACCTCCACCTCCAGCTTTCTACTTCATGAGGGAGGAGAGGGAACCCCACCTCAGCTGGCTGTGAGAGACCCAGGAGTGGAGACGGGTGAGGGATTTGGTGCCTGGAAGTGCAGGCTGGCGTGGTGGGGGCCCGCTGCAGTGGGCTCGGTGCCCTCCTTGGTGATGATGATGGAATGCTGCGTGGAGGAGGAGGAAGACGAGGCACGTCTGCCCGTCCTGGGCTGGGCCTTGGGAAGGTAATGGACCACAGCACTCAGCAGCCGGTCCCGGAAGCTCGGGCTGAGGAAGTTGTAAAGGATGGGGTTCAGGACGCAGTGGAGCATGGAGAAGCAGTCGATGACATCATAGAAGAAGTAGAGCAGGTGGGTCAGGTAGCAGTGGAGGTGGATGTGGGTCCCATGCAGTGAGAGCAGCAGCAGGTTCACATGGTAGGGCAGCCAGCAGACGACAAAGACGCCTATGTAGGCGCACACCAGCAGGCAGTGGCGCCGGCTCTCGGGCCGTCCTGCCCGCTTAAGCCGCCAGGCCGTCAGCACATTGAAGACGGTGATGAGAGGGAAGGGCAGCAGGAAGCCCAGGATGGTGGTGGACAGGGTCACCGCCATGGCCCATGTGCTGTAGGTTTCAAAAGGCGCCAGGAAGAGGCACATGGGCTCGAAGCTCTCCACCAGCTGAATGTGGACCACCTCGGGCAGCGGAATGATGGCCGCGAGCACCCAGACGCCCGCACACACCGCCCGCCGCACTCGGTGCTGGTGGCGCTGCCAGGAGGGAGAGGCGCTGGTGAGGGTGACGTAGCGGTCGATGCTGAGGCACACCAGGAAGAAGATGCTGCTGTACATGTTGGCAAAGTAGAAGTAGTGGGTGAAGCGGCAGAAGAAGCTGCCCCAGAGCCAGGTGTAGTCCAGCGTGACCTCCAGCATCCACACGGGCAGAGACAGGACGATGCCCAGGTCCGCGATGGCCATGTTGAGCACGTAGAGTCTCAGCAGCCCCGCCCGGCCCGAGCCGCGCCAGTTGACGCAGATCACCAGGAGGTTCTCCACCAGCCCGACCACGAAGATGGCCAGGTAGAGGACAAAGAGGGCCACGCGCTTGGTGCTCTCGCTGAGCTCCACGTGGCACTCGGGCAGACTGTGGTTGAAGAAGTAGAACAGGTCTGTCCAGTTGTAGATCTCTCCAGGGTCACTGGCAGGCCCTGCAGTGACCCGGTTGGGGGGCCCGGACTCCATGCTGGCCGTGACTGACATCAGGACCCGCAGATGCCTGGTGGGGAGAAGAGCATGTTGGAGGAGGAAGGAGACTTGGAAAACAGCTTTGTGTCCCGTTCCCCAGGCCGCAGGGCACCGGGACCAGGAGGCTTTGGGGAAAGATCCTGGGTCTGAAGAGGCAAGAAAGGGAAGGTGAACATTCAAACTGTGAGTAAATAGCACACAGCTTACTTCTCGGCTTCGACCCAAGAGCAGAGATACTTTGCTAAGGAGCCTCCGTGGTGGGAGAGACCAGATCTCTGCCCAGCCTGCCAGGCCCACCCTTCTCCAGCCTCAGGTGGGCTGGCTGGCTCCGACCTCCACTCACACCCTCCTCAGGAGGCTCTTGCTCTGTCTTGTCCTGTGGGCTTTGGATGCAGCGCTCTCTCTCTCTCCTCTCTCTCTCTCTCTCTCTCTCTCTCTCTCTCTCTCTCTCTCATCTGTGGATCATGCAGGAAAGGCAGTTGTCTCCAAGCCCCATTCCCTTCTTCCCTGAGAGAGGGCAGCACTCACCTGAGTTTCCTTGGGGACACCTCCGGTCCTGGAGGCAGAGGGCCTGGACTGTTGGGAGCTGCGAGGAGGCTGGAGGGACGGTGGCCTTGCAGCTGGCTTTGCTTCGGGCCTCAGGCTGCCCTTCTCGTCCGGAAGCAGCATCACCGGCTGAGGCTCTGTGGGAAAGGACCGGGATTTTTCCTGCCTTCCCCCAATCCAGTTAGAGGGGAAGTCACAGCAGAAGACCCAGCGTGCCAGTGGTGGGGAGGAGTCAGGCTGCAAGCATTAAATCCAGAGCCTCACTCACTAACTGTGGAGATTTACTCCTTTTAGAAAAACAAATAAGATTCCTTTATTCATTTAGTTAGTTTTGTAAATCCTCACCCGAGGATATTTTCCCATTTATTTTCAGAGATAGTGGAAGGGAGGGAGAGAGACAGAGAGTTGATAGAGACACATTGATTAGTTGCCTCCTGCACGTATGGGACCAGGGCTGGGGCGCAAGCTTGCAACTTGCAAGCCCTTGATGGGAATTGAAACCAGGACCCTTCAGGCCACAGGTTGACACTCTATCCACTGAGCCAAATGGGCAAGAGTATGTGTGTGAGACTAAATGAGCCACCAAGGTGAAGTGCTTAGCGCAGGGCTGGGTCTGTGTTTAATGCTTTACGTATGCAGGTGCTTTCCGCTCCAAGTCAGCTTGGAATTCCTCTCTCCCATGTCTGCCTTCATTCCTACTAAAGCAGAACTGGACACGGTGGGAGGGCTAACAAATACGTGGAAATCAGTCAGACTCTTAATCGCTCTGGTCCTTCCCCCATTGACT